CCACACTCTAGATGAGTCGCCGTTCTCGACTGATGTATGAATATGGCGTCGTTGTGCATCTCTACATAATGTATTGCAGCGATTCCTGATTTTGGCGTATTTCCTTTGGTTTTCCTCTGTTTTATTCCTCTTAAGCTTTGACAATGCTACATTTTTCTTCAAGATAAGTTTTTTCAGATCATCAGAGAGCCATGGAGCAGGTAAATGTTTGAGTTTTACGTAATGCATTGGCGCGTGAATGTCATAAAGCTGAGTAAGTAAGGAACAGAAAAGTTCAACTTTATCATCAATGCACGGTACTCTCTCAATCACTGACCAGTCAATGTTATGCGCATCTTCACAAAGTTGGTCAACATCCATTCCTCCAAAATTACGTCGCAGAACTAATTTAGGTTTGATTTTAGGAGGGCGTAGTTTATACGAAAGGAAAATTAAATCGTGGTGAGAGAATGCATCAGCAGGACACTGTCCGTGTTTGAAAACCAGTGTTGAAGATGACACTATAATTAAGTCAAGAAGGGAAGGAGTACAGTTAGGAAAGTTATGAGTAGCAGAAAGGAGTTCCTCTTCTTTCGGAGTTTCTATTTTATTTATTTTATACGTTGTCTCCTCACTCATAAAAACGCTTTCAAAATATGCCTCCCATCTCTTTAAACTCAAAACTTCATCATCTACAATATAGCCATTCTCATCTCTTATAGCATTCATTATAGGCTGTTTTGAATGTCTCCTGGCAGTTCTTACGAGTTTCCAGAACATTTTAAAATTTGCCTGGAAGTTATCTGATATTCTTCTATCTTTCTTATCCATTCTTTCTTACTTTTTCCTTTCAACTACTTCTTTTACTCTCTTATTTAGATGTCTAAAGGCTGCCTTTTTTCTTTCAATATCATCATTCGTACCGCTAGAATTACCAGCCTTTGTTGCTAGTAAATCTAGCCATGCTCTCTTCTTTGCTTCAACTTCCATACGTATCTCATCGTCCCACCACAATGTATTATTTTTCCTTTCATTCTTTCTCTTACTAATACCACATATTTCCGGTAGCTGCATCCACTAAACCTTTCTTAACATTTTGCCATACATTCTCCAAGTCGAACTCATTCATACATAATTCATTCAAACCACTTATATTTTCTTTCAGTCTACATTTGAACTTGTTTTTCTCACCTTCTTCTTGTAACCTTTCAGTTCTTATACGATGTAACGCAGTGGTAGACACAGATGACCGATGGCGCCAACGCCTGAATAGACCATTAATTCGGCATAAAACCAAATAATGATCCGTTCCTACGTTGGAACTCCGGTAAACCCTTGTATCTACCACTACGCCCCTCATTCTTTCATCCACAATTACGAAATCTATCATGCTTCTATCATCACCTCTTATATGTGTGAATCCTCTTGTGGTGAAAGCAAGTGTTCGTCACAAAAATATTCTTTTCCATACATACGGTGAGGAGGCTTTCACCATTCTCATTTATAGTTTCATCGCCAAACGTTCCCAATATCCTTTCATAACCAAGCCTCCTCACCCCAACCCTTCCATTAAAATCTCCTAGCATAATAATATTTTCATTTCCCTTACATTTCATTAACATCATCCTTACCATTTCCCAAAACTGCTCTCGGATATAAGTGGGCTTAGACATGTCTGGGGCGTAGACCCCTGGCACAAACAACTTCTTTAAGCCCACTTTCATTCGTATCCATAGGAATCTTGGGCTTACACATTCATACTCTTTCACACATAGGCCCATTCTTTCTGAAAGGATGATACCTACTCCCTGGCATGCCCGCTCAATCTCGTCTACCCCAGACCAGTATGCGGTATACATGCCATGTGTAGTGACATCCTTCCCCTTCCGTTTCGTCTCATTTACACATAACACATCTATTCCTCTATCATACATCATATCGCATACTTCATCCATTTTATCATTCATTGCCCCACATACATTCAACGTAGCCAGACGGGCCTCTGCAATCCACTTTTCGCCCCTCCGGGAGACAGAACGTGACAGGTGGCGAACCTTGTCGCCGTTCTACTTTTTACTCGATATTTATTTTTAATTTTTAACATATAAATTAATTTAAGGAAACTTTGTACTTTTAGGCTTAGTCTTTGGCACGTGTTTTTCAATTATTGATTTTAATTTATGATAAAATTCATTACGCATTGAGTTAACTGAAGCGCAGTTTAGTAATAGTTCTGACCAATTTGTACCATCTAATTCTTTATTAATGGCCTCATAATCTGCTCTAAAGAAGTTGTACCTTTCATTAAGCTGTGCGTTGATCGTATTAATCTTCAAGAAATCAAGCTTTAGGTTAAGTGACGGATGATGATTATCGATTATGCTGATTGGACTTAAGTTTTGACTAACTGTCACATGAGTATGTTTTGAAAGAACCAAATCAAGCAACCTACCATTTGCGTTAAATATTGAATTGAATTGTTTTAAATTGTGTTCCTCGATAAAATCAACAAAACTAGACGCTAAGTTAGAACTACTAACGGGGTGTAGACAATTTAATTCCGGTACTTTCGACCATGAAATACAACTATGTTGCATTGTATTAATAGCTTTGGACGTATTTTATAAGAATTCACTTAGCACATTGCTATTCATCGGAGGTGGCAAGTATACTACGCAGATTGCAACATGACTTAGTTTACCATCTATAATTGCATCAACCGTAATCCACAAATCTTCGCAGTTACTCTCCCAATGCAGGCAACGGCTTGATTTTAAGGTATTTTTAACGGCTATCTTACACCGCCCCCCCCCCCCCCATTTTTGATTCTTTTTGAGTCTAATTGCTCCCTGTCTCTCCTGTATACCGTATAGCGATCATCAATAAACTCACTATCGAACACACCGTCATTAAGCCAAGTTTCTGTAAAAATTAAGATGTCGAAATCATTACATAGTATGTTAAGTTTTACATCACGCGCCTTACTACGACTCCCCATTAAGTTTTGGTAATATATATTTAACCCTTTCGTATAAACAGAATTTCGTTAATAGACTAGACAGATAAGTACTTTACTATTGTAAATCTTCGAGCTGCTCGATGTTACGCACGACAATATGCTCAGAATTATCGGTTTTTTCTTAAAAAGTTACGACCATTTTTAATCCAGACAAATTTGTATTTTAATTTCTTTGCTGTCGCTCTGGCAAGGGCGTGGATTTTCTTCAGCTCCGGGGTCAAATGTTCGACTACAAATATAGGTTTTTGTCGCCACCTATCCCGATGTGGCTTGTATTTAGTTTTTCATTGGGGTTCGAACCCGTGGACAAGCAAACTTCACAATAATAGACCGCGGTCGTGCATTTTCTGGATTAATCTTGGCGATTCTTGTACATTTATGGATATCAGCGTCGGAAATTTTAGTGCCAGTAATCTTCCCTATTTGTGTAATAATATTAGGTATATTTTCGGCCCTATGTTCCGGAACACATTGTATATCTAGGTTGCTCATTCTTGAATGCTGCTCCATTATGCTTAAGCGACTATTGAGGTTTTTTACTGTTGATTTATCATTTTCATCTTATAGTTGTTTTACATCTTTAAATTTTACTTGCATATCCTTTTTTAAATCTTCGTATTGGTTAGTAATGAAAAGAACAGATTCCTTTAGGTCAGTGATTTCCACGGTTAGTCCCTTTATTTTATTTTCTATAATTTTGCTGATATTGCTTTCAATTTTGTTTATAAATGCATTCATCTCATCGCAAATTATGTGCTTTATACTCTCAAGAGTGAGAAATTCCTGACTTTGAGTCAAGAGCGTAGGTTGTGTGCGTCTTAATGTGATGTTACTGCTCGTGTCTCGAGGTGAGATTCCAGAGATGCGAACAGGCGTGTCAGAATTATCACATTTTGGTTGCTTTGCTCGGCAAATCGGGCAAACCCAATTTTTTTTTAAATCAGTAGAAAGTTCTTTATATTTTTTGCTGCTGGCGTTTATACAATCGTAATGGTATTTAAAACTACATGTAATAATACATTTAAGCTGCTCTTGCGTGATAAGTTCTTCAGAGCACGCGCCACATTTTTTGTTTCTCAAGGTTTTTATACTCATATTTGCGGAACAGGTGTTAACTCAAGTTAGCAAAAATTTAATACGGTGACTTGCTATAGCTTATTTAACAGGCGCTTACCTGCAATTGAATGTGGTGTGACGTAGATGCGGGGCGATTGCGGGTTGCCCTAGGTCAGGGATTTTTTGATTTACCGATGTTTTGTAAATACAAAATGCGATTACTCACGAACCCCTGCACCGATTTCGACGATCCAAACACATCACTTCTTTATAATGAGGACTATATTATGTACCAAAATACCAAATGTAAAATTGTTAAATTAGGTAAAATTTAACTATACATTTAGATTTAAATGTCACGGATCAGCTGATAGACACTGTTATCGTACAACGCGCGGGTAGAACTGCAAACTAGAAGTATCACTGCGACCTAGAAGATCTATTGTGATCGCTGCTATGGCTATAGTTCACGGCTAAGCCCTATGTCTGCAATGAATAGAAGGAGTTGCTTAGCCGTGAGCAATTTCACTTCTTCTGGGCGGAGTACATAGTTTCCCAGATGAGTGTTACGTTTGCGCATTAAGGGTCCGCAATCTGTTAGGATCTGCAGCTATATTAGTAGTATGGTTGTAGCACGAATGGGTCGGCTTGACTAGGGAAGGACCACGCTCTCACAGAATATCAGTGTAAAATAGCAGCATAATGCTGTTGTGTTTCGTATGGTGAGTGTAGAGAACCGGAGACCCTTTTTACTTAAACGAGGCATTTCACCCTAGTCTTTACGGGTGACAACGCAACTAAATTTCGATTTGTAGTCGAGGATAGATGTAAATGTCTATGGGCCATAGCATCCACTTACCGTCAGGTGGACTATGTGCTCGTTCGTCATCCTTAAGCTATAAAAAAAGAGATTTCTAACCCTATCGAATAACCATGTTGTTACCAGGTCGCCAAAAATGATGGACGTATAACCTTCGCTCACTTCGCTCGAATCCTGAACTTCGTGGGTATCCTATTGTCTCCTGAGGACTTCAATCTGTTGGTGCGCCGCTTCATCAAGGACTCCTATACCATCGACTATGTAGAGTTTCTCAAAGCTTTGGAAGCTGTCAAAAAGGAAGGAATACAAGGGTTGGGACCGGTGAGATAATTTTCATACCATCATTCATCATCATTACAGCCCTTCGTAAGTCCACTGCTGAACATAGGCTTACCCCAAGGAATGCCACATAGCAAGGTAATGAGCTACCTGCATCCATCGACTTCCTGCGTGTCTTACCAGGTCGTCACTCTATCTAGTGGGGGGGTCGCACTACACTTCGCCTACCGGTATGAGGCTGCCACTCGGGAACCTCTTTTCCCCGTCATTTGTCAGTTTTTCGAGATATATGGTTGGCCCACTGTCACTTCTGCCTACAAATCGTTCGGCTGTGTCAGTCACTCTGATTCTACTGCGAATATCCTCATTTCTAAGTTTATCATGCAGAGAAACCCCGAGTATAGCCTCTCCATAGCTCGTTGAGTGACTTTAAGCTTCCACAAATGACCAACAGTGAAGGACCACGTTTGATATCCGTAAGTCATCACTGGCAACACGCACTGTTTGTACTCCCGGGGAGGGGCGGGCAAGAATATCCACTACCCCATATCTTCCCGTGGGTGTCGTAAGATGACGATGGGAAGCGAGGCAGAAGATGGCCAGTAGAATCTTTCTAATAACAGCAACATAACAATAGAAAACTGTGGTTTCCAACCCGCTCGCCAAGCGTGGCAACTATGGCAATATACCCCCCATAATGAGAGTTACGATTTTTTATGCACACATAATTTATCAAAATAGTAGACGGAATAAAATAGAATGTGTCAAGTTAGATATTTCAAACTGCACTTTAAGTTACAAGAGCAGTGTCAAAATATCTACAATCATTGCATCTGAATGCCTACTGCGAGTTTCAAGTAAAAAACTTTTCGCAATGAATTGTGAAATAAAATTCTAATCTCAACTTATAAAATCAGAGTTAAAACTCATTAATATTAACTCAATACTATTAATTTCATCTCGTTTTGAGATGAAAACCTCGTTCGAATCATTGTGATTTGAAACGAAAAAGCGACAAACTTATACATCTATCAGCAGTCGCGTGCGCGCACCCGTACGAGTTGGGCGTGTCAACTTTTAATGAGCCTTAACGAGCGCATTTTAAAAAATATGACGAACGTAGTGAAGTGCAATAAATGTAAGATCGTCATTGACGAGATGTTGTAATATATACAAAATAAAATATCGATCGCAGACGAGGAAAGTCTAGTGCGTATTTGTAAGTCGGCATTTATAAGTGAGGATATCAAGCACTCCAAGACACTTTTGTTTGAGTCTATCCCAACGGACAAAAGAAAAATATTACGAAAGAATAAAGGGAAAGAAGAGCGTGACGTAGCAGATATTATAAACTTATTTAAAACTACGGAGCCCGACCTTATCCCAGTTTTTGTGGCAAGACAGTTAGATAAACTGCCACCAATCTTATGGGATCATTTGGACTGTTCTAAACTGTTGAAGGACATGATAACGATGAAGGCTGAAATCGAAGGCATAAAGTCGACTTATGCTACGCTAGAGTGTGTAAATGAACTAAGAACGGAAGTCTACAGCTAAAAGCCGATTCCCCACCGCCGGCGTCAGCTTTCAAAATGAACATGAAACGAGGTGCGTGTCTAGACAATGGACCGATGGGACTCTCACATGATTATGATATGTTGCCCAATGAGATAAGTACACGAAACATAAATGAATCATTGATCATAAAATCGCCTTCTACGCAATCTGAAAAATTAAGGGTAGAACGACACGATGAGCGCTCTCAAAATATTAATAGCGAAGACTGGCAAAAAGTGGTATATCGTAAAAAACAAAACAAATATCGTTACGTAGGAAAGTCGGGCATAGCAAGAGACCTAGAATGCACCTTCAGAGCTGCCGATATGAAAATTCCTATATTCATTATGAATGTGCATGTCTCTGCAACAGAAAAAGATATAACTAACCATATCTATAATAAGACAAAGGAAATAGTGAATCTGGAGAAAATAAATATGAAAGTGGAAAGAGGACACAAAGCATACAAATTTTTAATATATGAGGCTAATTTATCGAAATACATGGACGAAACGCTATGGCCCGAAGGTGTCATATTCCGACGTTTTGTAAACTTTAAGTACAGGAATGCGAACGTTGCAGGTTCTACCAGCGTAGACGGTCAAAATAAACCCAATAAATTTATAGACTGAATACGGTGAGTGCGATTGTTGACGAATACGGAATTGATGCTGTATTTATTTTGGGAGACTTTAATGCGAACCCGGGTGAGTTGTTTTACAGTGAACTTATTAATTTTTGTAATGACCAACTATGGTCTTATATAGACACAGAGATATTAGGGTTAAACACGGGCACTTTTACTTTTATTAGTGATGTGTTCGGGACATGCAGCTGGCTGGATCACTGCATTGCTACTCAGTCGGCAAAGCAGTCTGTGATTAATGTTGATATAATATATGACACTCAATGGTCGGACTACTTTCCACTTATTATAAATTACGATTTAAAATTACTAACCCCTAAAATATTACCTAAAATTATGAATCCAAATAAAGATATATTATAGGGTGAAAGAAGTGTTGAACAAATCTCTATGTACTCGTATACCAGTGAGTGTCATATGAGGCTAAGATTGATTGACTTTCCTTCGGATTGTGTAAGCTGTGCTGGTTATGCTTGTAATGACCGTGGCCACTGGCATGACATTGTGACCGCCCTTCGTGACGCAACGGTGGTAAGTCGGGGAAGCATGAAATGGGGGGAGTGGCTCACGCATAGTGGGTTGGAACAAGCACGTCAGCGCTGCTCATAGGGAGGCTAGGTCCAAGTTATACGAGTGCGTGATATGCCGAAAGCCAAAATCAGGTCTTGTTTACCGAGAAATGTGCGAAAGCAGACGAGTTTTCAAGTCCAGATTAAAGTGGTGCCAAGATCACCAAGAACAAATTAAAATGGACTCTCTTCAAAAAGCATTCAAAGGGTAACTTTAAGGGCTTCTGGAAAAACACTAGTAAAATTAATGTATGGCCTGGCCTCCCTGTGAGCGTCGATGGTGTGAACGACCCTAAGGACATTGCAAATGTCTTTAGGGACCACTTTTCTGTGAAATCGCCACTGGGCCCCGCCGGGGGTGTGATCAATAGTAACATAAGTAGTCACGTAGTAACGACCGCGTTTTTGGCAAAAGGTGTTTCAAAAGCCATAAAAAGTATATCAAGAGGTAAGTCACCGGGACATGACGGTCTTAGTATTGAGCACCTGCAGTACGCCGGGCCACATGTCGCGAGGGTATTGGTTATGTTTTATTCGCTATGCGTGGGCCATTCTTACTTTTATGAAGACAGCTGTGGTGCCTGTAGTGAAAAATAAAACGATCTTACCGACAAAAGTAACTACAGGCCTATCTCCCTTGCGACTGTCATAGCAAAGGTGTTTGACGGGTTGCTTAACGCACAGTTAAATAAACACGTAAAGCTGAATGATAACCAGTTCGGGTTTCGACCGCAGCTGTCGACTGAAAGCGCAATACTGTGTTTTAAGCATACCGTTAAATACTATACAAACCGCAAGACGCCTGTATATGCCTGCTTCTTCGACTTATCAAGGGCTTTTGATTTAGTCCGATACGATCGTTTATGGGATAAGTTGAAAAAGCATAAACTTATCTGAGGAACTCATTAGCGTGTTCTAGTATTGGTATTCACAACAATCTAACAGCGTACGTTGGGCGGGAGCAGTGTCGGATCCGTATTGGCTCGAATGTGAAGTCAGACAGGGCGGATTAACATCTCCGACACTTTTTAATTTGTATATGAATGATTTGATCGTCGCTCTCAGCAGCCAGCGCGTCGGTTGTCATATCGACGGCGTATGTGTTAACAATCTGAGTTACGCTGACGACATGGTTTTGCTGAGTGCGTCGATCTGTGGCTTAAGAAAACTGATACGCATTTGTGAAGAGCATGCGAGTGGCCACGGTCTAAAGTACAATGTGAAGAAAAGTCAATGCATGGTCTTCAAGGCAGGTACCAAGTGTCCCCAGGATTCACCTCCAGTGTTACTAAATAAGGTGCCACTAGAAGTTGTCAACCAATTTAAGTACCTGGGACACATAATAACTAATGACCTCAAGGACAATGCGGACATTGAGCGGGAGCGGAGAGCGTTGTCGCTGTGTGTGAGCGCAGATTTGCGCGATGCTCACAGGAGGTAAAAATTGCACTATTTAGAGCTTATTGTACGTCACTCTATTCATCCAGCCTGTGGGCAGACTATAATAAACGAAGTTACAACGATCTCCGCGTCCTGTACAATAACGCTTTCAGGGTGGTTTTGGGGCTGCCCCGCTTCTGCAGTGCCTCTGGCATGTTTGCGGAGGCGCGCACTGCCTGTTTTCACGCGACCATGCGTAAGCGGTGCGCGCTGGTACGCAGAGTGCGGACCAGCTCCAATATTATTCTGAAAATGATAGGAGACAGACTGGACTGTCCCAGTAATTGTGGGAGTGAGAAGATACTAAATAATAATTATGTGTTAGTTATTATTGTGTTTATATGTTATGTTATGTATGTTAGTTATTGTATTTTCATGACATATTATTATTATTTATTATCAATTAATTAATGTTTTTAAATCAATCAAATTTTAATGATATGGATCTTATGTTATCTGAAATAAATTAATAAATAAATAAATAAAAAAATATAGAATTTAGCCTACGGGAGGTTGAGATAGAACAGAAGTGAAACCTTCAGAAAAATACAGTATACTGTAATACTGTATTTTTCTGAAGGTTTCACTTCTGTTGCGTGTAACAAACGCTTTTTTACATTTTTTTGGTTTAGTATTTTTGTGTTAGAATTTGCGTTTTTCCCTTTAATCTTTGTATTTCGTTCGAACCGTACTTACCAATGACCTCTGTATATACAAGTACGCTGGACTGGCTTATACATCGTGACATGATGAGGCAATTCGATTTCTGCCATTTTGGCGCTGACAGCAGAAGTGAACGTCCACGGAGCTCATAATGGGGATAAGACAGTGTGACAAAATATATCGATAAAAATTATATAGCCTACCTATACCAAAATAAATAGAAAGGACTCTATGGATAGATGGCCTCTTCCCGTAACGTCCATTCTATTTATGTACCATATTAATATAATGCCATTATCATTCATCATCATGAAAGCCCTTCACAAGTCTACTGCTGACCATAGGCGTCCCCCAAGGAATGCCACAAAGCACGGTCCTGAGCCACCTTCATCCATCAACTTCCTGCATGTCTTACCAGGTTGTCACTCCATCTAGTAGGTTGGAACCTACACTTAACCTGCCGGTACGAGGCTGCCACTCGAGGACCTTTCTTCCCCATCAGTTATCGGTTCTTCAAGCTATATAGCCGATCCATTGCCACTTCAGCTTACTAATCCGCTGGGCGATGTCGGTCACTCTGGTTATGGTGCGGATATCCTCGTTCCTAAGTTCACCGCGTGGAAAAACCCTGAGCATAGTCCCCTTCATAGCTCGCTGAACGACTTCTAGCTTCCTCATACGGCCAGCAGTGAAGGATCACGTTTCAAATCCATAGGTGATCACTGGCAACATGACTGGTTGTCAGTTTTGAGATATGCCTGACGAGAAGATGTGTTGTAATCTCCCGAAGGCTGCCCAGCCGAGTTGAATCTGTCGATTGACCTCGGTCGAAGTTATACTTACTTAGTCGGACTATTTGTCTCAGGTAAACATAATAGTCAACAACTTCAGCTATGTGCTCCCAAAAACTTCAGGTATAGGTATGACATGGACATTACACATGACTTTTGTCCATGTTCATCTTAAGACCTATCCGTTGGGAGACACTATTGAGGTTATTGAGAATAGTGCGATTATGCCATAAGGACTATATTGTTAATAAATCGAAGGTGAGTGACGTAGACGTCATTGATGTTAGTACCATATCCCTTCATCATTTGACATTATCAGACGACCTTTCTACACTTGGCTATGGCCCTTGAGTTTGGGGAGAAAGATGAAAAGAGCAGAAATCAAAAAACATTCGAAATAATAATCTAATACTTTTTTTATACTAACTGGTACTGGTACTATCAGTAAATATTGTCGGTGGACTGCACATTTTCAAAGTGGTGCGGTTCTCACGTCTAATAAAACAGTCGTCTGTGAAGTGTTTTGAACAAAGATGATCATTTTGTTTCGGACGCTAATTCACAATATTTATGCTTTTAAGCCATAATTTTAGTCTAGGTTCAGTTAGAAACCTGTTAATTAATAAACATTTGATAATATCTGTTGTTGAATTTTTAGTTTAGGAAAGAAATCGATAAGATTATAGACAAGGAACTCGACAACCCTATTGAATTTTAGTATTTATCAAAACTCAGTAATATGCAGCCAAAAATATTGGTAATTATGATATTAAGTTTATTAACAAATTTTTAAGCACATATATTGTCAAATAGTTTTAATTTTTTTTATATTAGCTGAAAATTCAATTACTTGTAGAATGTTTATAATACTTTCCTTTGGATAACGAGTTTTATAGATTACGCACACTCTCGTTATTATTAAAAATAATTCTTATAATGTAACTAAAATTATTCACAATCAAACAACATAAACTACTTTCATTTTTTAGTTTAAAAGTTGAAAATACAAAGATAAGATTTAAATAAAACAAAAGATTTTGGCATATTATGTCAATTTTAGTTCCCAAAACGCCTAATAGTGGCGCTTCAAATTGACACAGACATTTTGTATGGTATAGCCAGTCCAGCGTACTTGTATATATAGAAGTCAGTGATGCCATATATAAAAAAAAAATAAAAGTTGTGGCGGATTGACAACAATGGTGGTTGTAAAATAAAGTTTATGATTACCTTTATTAACTAATGATTTTTAGCAAATATCTAAACAAATATGTTTGAAACATAAAAGTAAACCAACACTTTATAGAGAAGTATCTATTAAGCACGTATAGATTCTAATGTGGTTTCGTGTTTGTGCGTAACAACGCAGTAAAACATCGATAAAATTAGATTCAAAATAAACGGAGAGCAGACGAGGATAGAAATTGGTCGAATAACTTTTTTCTATGAAAACATTTTTTATAGAATAATTGTGACAAACGAGCACACAGTTCACGTCTACATTTATTCCCAATTAAGAATCAAAATGCAAATGCATTATCAGCCCTGAGAAATTAAGCCCAATTCCTCGTTACCAGTAACAAGGGTCTTCGTTTCTCTACACTCACCATGCGAAACAAAGCTGTTCCACGCTGGTATTCTGTGAGAGCGTCTTCCTACCGATCCAGACGAGTTTTAAAGGGGGTCAGTAAAAGGGTTTCCGGTTCCATAAAGTCAAACTACAATTTCATCCATTATAAACCAAATCTCAAACTGTCTCCTACCCAGGCGTACCTAAATCCGAAAGCAGTGATCGATACGACCCCACCCAAACTATCACGGCCGGAGATAGAAGCCGGACTGCCCAGCACATTGCTCGGTGTCGAGGTGTTCCATCCGGCATTGCGGCAGCCCAAACCCACCCGTGGACTAGTGGACATCATGCTTAGAGTGCAGCAGTTCGTGATGCAGAGACGAATCCGGGTCTTCGAATTCTTTAGGGTATGTTTAATTATTTTATATAATTTTCTAATTAATAACAATCACGTATTTCATTATTACTTTCACCTTATCATTCATCATATTATATATCTACATATTATAAACGTGAAGGAAAAACTTTGTAAACCTTTTTCGACGTCATGCGCTTACGGAGGGGTAGGAGATTTGGTGTAGTTAAAGTTTGTGTTATGAAGGAGTGCAGAATGCTGAAATTTACTATATATATATATATATATATATATATATATATATATATATATATATATATATATATATATATATATATATAATATGTGTTACAAATACATTAAAGTAATTAAAATACTCACGGTGATAATGTCAATTGTCGAACACACAATAGTCTAAGTCAAACAGTCGCACAGAGTATAGTGGACATGATGAGAGATGTAGCCAACATAATAATTACTTACCTACAGATTGACGATTGAATAAGAAATTTTGTGTGATTTATAATGTTCCTTTTTCAATAGTCGTTACCGTTACCGATACTGCCTGTCCAATGCTGAACATAGGCCTCCCCTATATAATGCCTCACAGTAGGGATATTTGCCATAGTTACCACGCTTGGCAAGCGGATTGGCAGCTTTTTTATTTTTAGTCGGTATTAGAAAGACGTTAATTACTGTTAGCACTGTAAATTGATTAATTTTACAGTGTTATGAAACTTGTTACCTTGAGTGGAAATGTAGGAACTAGAATTTAAATACCTGGTAGAGCCATGCTACAGCTTTTAGTATTTATTATTGTAGCACGAATGGGTTGGCCCGACTGGGAAAAAACCACTCTATCACTGAATAGCAGCTTTATGCTACTGCTTTTCGTACGGTAAATATAGAGAACCGCAGACCTTTTACTAGAAAAGAGGCATTCCATCTTAGTTCTAAGGTAAGGATTGTTAATCAAGGACAGATGTGAATATCTATGGGCCGCAGCATCCACTTACCGTCAGGTGAACTGTATGCTCGTTTTTCACCCTTATTCTATAAAGAAACACGGCGAGTTCCCAAACCTTCGTCGTGGATTGCTATTGGCCTGATGAAAATAATAAAAGAGAAACAGCGGAGCTTATTTCGCTTCGATTTTTTTCAGTCTACAGAATTTCGTAATGAAATATGCATTTACATAAAGATAGCTCGTTGCTATGTTAGAGTCCCATAGATGGCGCTGGTAGCAATTTAATCACAAATTCTATATTTTATGAAGCTAAATGACTCATATTCTCAATATTCGAGTAGGTGATCTTTATATTAACATTGTAGAAAAAATTGAACTAAGAACGATTTTCGAGTGGCAGCCTAATATAGGTAAGCGCAGAGTGTGCTGTCCTCCACTATGTGGGGTAAACTGAAAGTTTTGCACAACTCATAAACAGTTTTATTTGTTATAATGAATTTGGAGCGAACTTCATAGCGCCATCTAACGAAAAGGGCGTAACAACGTCTGCCGGGCCAGCTTGTAACATTATATAATAACAGTGCTGATTACTTTGCTAGGACTTCGACCCCCTCAACAGTGGGTGCATCAGACCACAACAGTTTCGCCGCGCTCTGGACATGATGGGTTTTAACGCCATACTCTCGGATACAGAAGCCATGTGCATCATACGGCACTACACCGATCCCAATGATAAAGAACGAGTCTGCTGGAGAACTTTTGAGGATGACTGTGACCAAGGTTATTCATGTGTTGCTATTTTTTTAAATATTACGAATTTTTCACTCAGTCTCCCACTAGATGGAGTGACGACAAAGGTCAAAGGAAATATCTTATAGGATTTCATGAATAAGCTTTCTAGTATCGAAATATGTCACATAAATGACAATAATCATATTAATACAATAATTTAAATAGGAAGTATAATAATAATGTCCTCCAGACCGAGTTTCGGAGATCAGCTGACAATCTGCGCGGGATAGGATTATAGTGCCCGAGCGTATGCGCAAGCACAGGTGCACTCTCTATTCCCTCACCCTCATAGTCGGATGGAACACGGCCGTAGAGAGAGATCAGATGCAGGACCAACGGTAATACGGTCTTTCCGAGGCACGGGGATAAAACACCGCCAATTTCCTGCCTCCGGACCTACTTAAGAATTTCTTGGTAGAAAAACCCAATAACTGATTTTGACCCGACCCGAGAATAGGTCCTGGGTATGGCAATAGTAGTCAAACACTACCTTATAATGATTGCGTTGTAAAAACTTCAAGCTACTGAGGTGTAAGCTATGGTTATATGGTTATATGGTTCCGTGGACGGAACCATAGACGTTTTGTCACAGATGAACATAGGACAATAAATTCCGCCATCATTCAAAAAACTATGTATAAAATACAATCTAGTCAACGAAAATATTTTTTTTTTGTTTTATATTTTGGTTACGCGGAAATGATTCGTGTATTTATAATTTTGTTCGAGGGTATATTGCTCGCCAATTGTCTGTCCTTCCTATAGTCTCATATCACTTCCGTACACACTGAAGGGGGAGGGGGTGTCTAAAAGGTGACGCGATTCTTTTGACCAATAAAACGCGCGCCCCACCGAGATGAGGTGGTGGGAAAGCCGACCCAAACCCTCTTGCCGCGCACCGCTAGTTTCGACCGCACCACCTGGGGTAGTCGCGCCTCAGAAGAAACCGCCTCACATAGTGTGAGCAACCGTCGCGCCAGCTCTTTTTTCAACGCACCACCGCAACAGAAACGTCGCCCGTAGCATAGGGATCCCACCCCGGTAAGTGTGTTTCCTTTTACTAAATTTCCTACTTGAGCTTTTTTGTTTGTTAGCTTTTTACCGCCCCATTTTTTCTCCTTACCGGCTCAAGTAGAACTTCCTCTCGACCTTGGCGAAGCGATAGATTTGGAAGAGCGAGTGCATTGTCCAAGGCTGTCGCGTGCCACATCCGCCATCTTGTTAAGGCATAAGAAGCCACCCGCGTACACAGTCCACCTAGCAACATCTCATGTAATAGGGGTCAAGGCCCGACCTGGGACTTAAGGCGCTACCCTGACCAAAACCTGGCAAAAGTGCGTTTTTCAGACTCTATTATCTCATTAGTTATGAAAAATAAACTACATCTAAAAGTACATTATTAATGTTCGATATCTTATCATCGCATTCCACGTTCTAATTTATTTTTATGTGCTATAAATACATTTAAAATCAACTTTTAAAAAAGGCCAAAAATTCTTGATTACATGCATCTGTTGCTAAACGCAACGCTCTAATCATTTGAGGATAACACTAATGGATAGATAATGAAAAAATCTATATTCTCCACGTTTTATTTAAATTTTTAAGTTCGTTTTTTCTCTTTTAATTGAAATAATTCCGAAAATTGTGTGACTTCTATGATAAAGGGGCGTGCGCAGAGTGCGGGTGGCATTACGCCGTATGCGTTTGTACGAGGTGGCCGCGTCGCTGGTCGCCGCGTCCGTATTTCGCCGCAAACATAATATTATTTGAGTACCTACCAACCGATGCGCTTACGTCACGGTATATTGTAACTCGGCCGTATCTTAGAAATAAATCTTACAGCCGTGCGGTACGTAAACATGCATAGGGCTGTCTGCCTCCAGCATTTTTACATTTGCCCATTGATTTATGTGTTTTATAACTCAATGCATTTTCCTACTTTGTGTTTCCATTTAGTTTTATGATTGTACTTAAATATACTTTTTTTATATAAACAAATATATAATAGGTACTTTGTGAATTGAATAGGAAGTGTTCAATAAAAATGCGTGTCGTTTTATGATTGGTAGATTTAATTAAAAAAACCATGTTTATGTTTGAATAACAAATCGGTCTTATAAATTTGCGGCCGAAAAATATTTGCGCCTCGGCTGAGACGTACGAAATGCTTTATTATTAAAATTTTAAATATAAAAAATCCGCATTATAATATAAAGCTTAATTAAAAATTGTTTTGGGAAACATGGACAAGTTGGAGTAAAGGAATATCTTTTACTCGGTTATAAATACCTGCAGCTACTTTACAATTTATATGTTCGGTTTTAAATGAAGTTTGGATTTATTACTTTTTTATTTCTATTCTATTTTCTGAAAGGGTCCTAGGAAAGGAATTATCCACCGCGCTGCCCCACTGCGTGTTGGCGAACTTTGCATGTCTTCGAAATATTTTTTTTCTTATTTCTCAAACATGCAGGTTTCCTCACAATGTTTTCCTTCACCACTGAGCACGTGGTAAATCAACACTTAAAATTGCAATTACAATATTATTGGTGCCGGCGGGGATCGAACCCGGTTTGCTCGCACACTGAAAATTTTAGCAAGCGCTAAAAATCTGAGCTACCACGGCTCCTCTCCTCTCGAGCTAGAGACTTTATTTTATTTATCGTCAGGCCTGTTGGTGTAGTGGTTAATGACCCTGACTGCTATGCCGCAGGTCGTGGGTTCGATTCCCAACCAGGACAAATGTTTGTGTGATGAGCACGATCATTTGTTCTGTCTCTGGGTGTAATTTATCTATAATATTTATGTATTTAGAAATATATAAGTATGTTTATCAGTTGTCTAGTACCCATAACACAAGCTCTGCTTAGCTTGGGACTAGATGGCGTTGTGTGATAGTTGCGGAATATTATTATTATTATATTATTATTGTTGGGGTATCTGTATAGTTTTCTCATCTGGTTGGTTTTTATAAATATATAACTATAAATTAAAATGAAAAGATAAATATACATAAATATTAATAAAATAAAATAAATACAAAAAATACACAAATAAATAAGTTGATAAAATCAAGGCAAACTTAGGGTCAATTATTATTTTGATAATTAAACTAGTGAAATTCCGCGGTTTTATATGTTTTACATAAATATCCTAAAAACTTATTATTTTAATATTTTACTAAGTACCTATAAAATTAACAAGTTTATTGGATTTTAATTAGAGTAATTTTTTATGCAATTTCTTTATCTACGTCTATTTTTAGGAACCTTTATTTAGTCTGAATCGTACATAACACTATATTACTGATTTACTTACTTATACGTAGTTTTCTTTTTTGCAGTTACAAATATCTTGTGAGGTTGAAAAAGGCAGTAATGAAAAAATAATAAGAATAATAATTGAAGTCAGCCACTTCTTTTCATAAAAATTTCAGATCATGGTCCATTAGGTTGCAGCTTCACCGAACCACAACTTATAATAATAATAATAACAGTAATAATATAATATTATTTTGTATTTATTTTATTTTATTGATATTTATGTATATTTATCTTTTCATTTTAATTTATAATTTTTATATATTTAAATATTTATAGAACCGAACCAGATGAGAAAATTATACGGCTCCAACGATTTTAGCGACGAACGCTTGGATTTTTTAGAAAATATCCTTTTGTCCATGTTTTCAGGCAATAAAAAAACTGCTACAATATAAGAAGGTAAATTTCGACAAAGCGCCAATGGTCGTTATAGCTCAGGTGGTATGTCGGTCGGGCGTGATATCGGAGTTCCGTGGTTCGCTTCTTGGCTTTGGTCCCGCTTTTTTTTCCTTTTTTTTTTCAAGTTCCCTTCTTTTGTGAGAAATCTATTATTTCAAACCCTTTTTTTTAGTAATTTTTAAAAATACGAAAATTTTAATTTTAAAAATTTTAAAAAAAAATCTATCTAGTTACTAATGCTATATTTATTATTTTAATATTTACCTTGGGTAGGTAATTGTTATTTTTTATTAATTACCTACCCAGTAGGTAAATATTAAAATAATAAATGTAGCATTATAAATAGTAAATCTCCCTCAAACTCAATTTACTAATTTGTTCCTGAATAAGGAATAGCAGATAAGAGATTAGTAGGTAATAACTATTGCTCCTCAAAATTATATTTGACCTCAAGGTAAAACATATCCTAAAATTCAGTAGCTAAATAAAATAATAATACCTACTATTCAAGTATATTCTCAATATGTAAGTAAATGAAAATAACAAAAAAGCACCATTAGCATGTAAAGTTCGAATCCATAATAACATTTCGACAAATATTATAATTTACTCTATAAAAAGCTAATTCAATATTAGCAGTATAGTATATAGTTAAAAATAATCAAAATAGTCATTTTTATTAATTAGATAATATATGAGAATACATAATTCTAATATAATGCAACTAATACATCGAATAAAGAAAATTAAAATACATTTATCATTGTACGCCGTGTCTATTTCCATAGAATAGTTCATTGACATTGAAAAAATAATACTACGTTCATAGCAGTAGGTGGCGTCTTTTGGCGATTTCTTACGCGATGTATTGTAGCGAGAGCGTCGGCAGGCCAAACGCTCAAGGTCGTTCGCTAGGGGTAAAGCCTTAAAACTCGGGAACCCCTAGGCCCGTCGCTCAACCAACATACTTTTGTTGAGTTGAGCGTTCTAAGTTGGGTTAGAACGCTTAACTTTAAAGGTTACTTATAGCCTTTGACTATTCAACCAACTGAAGACGTCATGCGCATTACTTCCTGAACAAAAAGTCTGTCAATTTCAGGAGAAGGCGAGGAAAACACACTACTATAAACGACAACGACCTACATACGAGTAATAATGAATGATAATTTTAGAATATGATTAATTACACGTAATTACAAGATTCTAATGTTAAAAAAATAATGTTTTTGATATTATTTTATATAAAATTTGACTTTATTATTTAATTAATTATTAAATTTGATGTAAAAATAGAAAGAAATTAATGACAATTGGATATGTAACATTATATAATTATTGACGTAAGAATAATAATTAATATATGACATTGACCTATAATAATAATCTTGCTTGATATAATAATACTTACTTATATTTTTTCTGACACTGTGGCATAATAAATTAATTATCAAATCAAGTAAATAATATTAAATAATTTTATATTTTGTTCAATTAATATATGTTGTTAAATTTGATAAGTATTGTTGTTTATGTTACTTGACCATTAATATTTGCACACCACTAAGGTAGAATATGTAGAACGAATTATACTCAAACACCATTGTTCAACCATATTCTTACAAATAAAGATTATTATTATTATTATTATTACTGTTCTCGTAATTCACTACAAATGCAAAATAGAATCTCGTTACTATACATGCTCACTACAGCAATTACGTTTGCGTTCATTGCATTTACACATACCATCAAATTGTATGTGTCGATACACTGGTGCCGCTGTCTACATGCGCTAGCAATATAATTAAGACGAATCTGGGGGCACGGCAGTGCCCCCGCCAATTCGAGCAAAAAAGCGGCACGGCCGTACCATACTTTTCTCGAAGCATTTTCCACCCCGTATAACTTTGTAGTGGATAAAACTAGAAGCCTGTATTTTTCATTAACCGAGTAGGCATTGTATAAAAATAGTATATTTCAAATTTCATTCAATTTGAACCAGTAGTTTAAGAATTATAACTAGTCAAAGTTTCCTAATTTTGTCATTCACTGACTGACCGATCATCAAAACTCTAAGGAAGTTCTAGTAGACATAGATGCTTCAATTTTAGAATACAATCAGTATTTAGTGTATAAATCAAGGAAAAACTAAAATATTTTTTAATTTCGGTCCAGTTTTCTAGATACACTAACTGCATATATAACTTTGTAATTATATATATATAGTATATATATATGTTTTTTATTATATATATATACATATAAATATATATAATTACAAAGTTAAATTTGCAGTGAATCAATCAGTGTACTTGTATATGTATAATAGCCCCTCTACACGATGGGCCATCGCGATGGCCCACTATGATGGGCCAACGTGTGGAGGGCGTAGTTGTGTCGGATGGCTTATGGCGCGTGCGATGGTCTTAGGGATGGCGACGGTGTCGGTTTTTCCGCCGCACATCAAAGGTAGTGGGCCAGCGATGGCGGTACGCATCTACACGTGGCCCATTCCACAGATTTGAGCGCTCGACGGTTGAGTGTGGACGTTCATGTTTTGTTTATTAACTGACGAATTAAAAACGTCGAATATGTGGCCTCATAATGAAGTTATAAAATTTTAATCATAGAGTTACTAAAATCAGAACATATACATAATTTGTTTTTTATTTGTTTTGAATAACTAATTAATAATTATTTATTAAATTATTAATTATAATTATTTGTGTTTAAAGAAAACTAAATTGACTTAGGACATATTTAGTTCTATTGCGATGGATATATAACATCCACCATCTTCTACGCTATTTTTTTTTTTGATAACTCTATTCTTGTGCACATTAAGAAAAAAAATGGAACGTGTTGTATAGATATATTGCCGCAGCGGCTAATTCATCCACGTCTATCTCGAAAAACGCTTCGATCATAACTAAATGTCGCCATCGTGTAGTTGCGTTTCAACCATCGCATGGCCATATCGCTGGGCCAGCGCTGGGTCATCGTGTAGAGAAGCTATAATAGGTGTGACAGGTAGTTTTGTGAGTAGGAAAGGAATGGTAAAGTAGGATTTAAGAAATGAGTGCCATCAAAAAAAAGAAAGTTGTTAAAGTTGAGATACTGGTTAAGATGGATCGTAATTTTTGGCTTTTTTTTATTCTCTTTTTCTTTTTTTAAGCTAATTTTTTCAGTACGTACATAGCGATAGGCTTTTAGTTAATTATTAAGTGTTAGGGCGAAACATCTTAACTCCGTCGAATATTTAGTTCTGGACATTTCAAGTCTTATTTTTAAGGAATTGTCTCTTTAAAAGTTCGCTTTCTTCAGTTCCTATTTTTTGTAGTACCTGTTTATTTTCTTTATTTATCAAAAATGTCTCTGTCAGCGAATCTAGAATTTCTTGTAAACTTGTAACTTTTTTCTATTAATTATATTGCGATTGGAGCCTTTTTATGCTATTGTTTTTATTTGTTGTGAGGCGTTTTTAGTTTAATTTTCCTTGGTCCTTAGTCTGTTCGTTTCATTAAAGTCGCTTTTGTGCCGCACCACCTCGGCACGTGTTGCACCTTTTCAAAGACGCGCCATTAAAGATCGTGTTGTAAAGCACCCGAAACGTCGGGAATCAGAAAATCAAAATTCAACGTGATAAAATCCGCAAGAGTTTCTTCAATGTGTAGTGTTCGCGTAAATATAAGAAGTCATTATTATAAACTTATCGAAATTCTAAAATATTTTCAAGAAGAATAATATTAATGTCAGGGTAATAATAAAAATATTTAATCTATTGATATAATTACAGCTAGATATTACCTCTTATAAGTTCAAGGTTGGTACAGCAGTATCGGCAAACCTTTTTTTTTATTGATAGCTTGGTGTATTAAATATGATTTATCAAAATGTTCGAAGCAAATGGTGCTAGCCCATTTAGGTATCCCAGATTCATGATTTCTACAAGCTGCAATCGAAGTCTGCTGCCTAAAAGGATCGATCTCATGGAAATATGTGAAATCAAACCAACAATAAAAACATTTACTGCTTTTCTACTACTTTATTATAAAATCTAAACAAAAAATAAAAACCAGTTCGGCAGACAAAACCGAATGGTTAATTAACTTATCGATAACTAAAGTTGTAGCATATATCACCACATTGCAGTAATTTCGGTTGCAGTCATACCAATTTATTTTATAAAAATTGCATACTTTTGATACGAGGTGGCAAGTGTCGATTCGACTCATTTGGCCTTTATTATGTATAATATTTTGATAAATACTAGTTATCGATTATATTAAAATATAATGTATTCAGCATCGTGTTGTGATTAAGCTGAATATTTAAATCAACTGACAAAATCCACTACACACCTTAATGTAATGATTCCTATTCATCACAAACTCACTTACTTTATAGAAAACAATTTTTCGTTAATATATTTAATTTGAGTAGTAAATTATATTTATTTTAAAACAGCTTATAATTTACTTCATGAACCATGATGGAAACATTTGTTATTTTACGAAAATATACAAAAAATATGAGTTTTGAGGATAAAAATATGTTAAAAATATTCACATATGAAATTTCACGTTTTTTACATGAAAAGAAACTACAATTATGCATTTTTTTCGGAGCTCGATTTACTGGAACGATCACTTCGGAATGACGCACGATGCGGAGCAACTAGTTTTATATAACGTGCATGATTCGGAATCTCGTACCTTTGACAGAGATTACGCCTTGCGATGCCGCCTCCTTTGTTTTAATACTCAAAGATTATTGCATACAAAATAACACCGTTATACAGCAACTTTTAAGCTTGTACAGCTACCGTACAGCAATACTAACGCATAAAGTTGTGGGATTTGTGCCAATTTCTTACTTATAAGAACTGTATAAGCGCTTATACAGCCCGAAAACACATCGTCTAGTATAAAAACGAAATTCAATACAACTCGTATACAGCTTGCATGCTGCTTGGGTTGACCTTTATAGGCTGTATAAATAGATAGAATTATTTCCCTTCCACAGTGTTCACCATCAAAGAACTGGAAAAGCACCCGGACGTGCAACCAGGGGCGGTTGCAGCGGTAGTATCAGAACTGCCGGCACCCGGCTCTGCTGTCGAGAGCAACCAGCTCACTGATCAACAACAGGAACTGGCAGAGGCGGCTTTATCACGGATAAGGGCAGCTTGCAAAGAGAGGGCCATTGATCTGCGATCTATTTTCGGAGATCACGATGCGTAAGGCTTATTTTCTTTTTTGATTGTCAATTTATTATTCAATGAATTTATTTCTTTCAGCAGTTTTATACGTAGTGGAGCCATGCTGCTGCACATATTGTCGCACAAATGTGTCGGTTCAACCGCGGTAGGACCACTCTCTCACAGAATATCAGCGTAAAATAGCTATATATACTTAATGCTAATAGTATAGTTTTAGTGCTAGTGTTTCATGTGGTGAGTGTAGAAAACTAGAGACCCGTTTACGGGAAATGAGACATTCCATCTTAATACTCAAGAGTGACAACGAATCTGCATTTTGATTCTTAATCAAGGATAGCTGATATCTATGGGCCACGACATCCTGTGTATTCGTTTGTCACCCTTATTCTATAAAAATTAAAAAAAAACTGTATTTAACTATCTTCTACTGTGCTCCGGTCTGAAAAGCCAAGATCCAGTATAATTTTTACAGGATAAAACGCATTCCATCTTAGCTATAGTGGTGATAACGCACCTGTTGCCTTCTTTGTTTAAAATTGGTTGTAGCTATCCATGAGCGGCAGTAAACATTTACCATCAGCTAGACTGTTGTTAGTTTGCTTGCCACTTTTTTATAAATAAACAAGCCCAATGTTTCATATAAATACAATTTAAACAAAGCGTTTAAAAAATTTCTGAAAGGAGAAAAAAATTCAAACATTATACTCACTTGCAACACTGAAATAAATCTAACGACCCCAATACGTTAAAGATGTTAAAAGCCATCGAGCCGCTTAGGCCGCTGAGCGTGCGAAAGAAATAGACATACATACAGACGAAAAACATTCACCCAGATTGGCAAAAATAAATTTACACTTGCCGAGCTGCGTACATTTTATGGTGTCTTGGGTACTTTACGTGCCGTGTAGTGGCGGTTGAGAATATCCACTACCCCATATCTTCCCGTGGGTGTCGTAAGAGGCGACAGAGGGAGACAGGCAGGAGATGGGCAGCAGCATCTTTCTGATAACAACTGTGTTGTAATAAAAAACAGCGGTTGCCAACCCGCTCGCCAACCGTGGCAACTATAGCAAATATCCCCCCATGAATAACGACGCAAAAAACGGCCCCCAGTACCCGGCGGCCCCGCTATTCCTGGCTACGGTGGCGACCATGGTAACGGCGGGGCAGGGGGTGCTATGAATCTCCAGTGGAGGTTCGGTTGCCACCTACGACGACTCGACCTGGCAACATATAACGCACGCACTCTGAGGACTGACGAGAAGATACTGGAGCTGGAAGAAGAGGTAGACAAGTTGCGCTGGCATATTATTGGATTATCCGAAGTCCGAAGAGAGGGGGAGGATACGGCAATCCTCGAGTCCGGCAACTTGTTCTACCACCGGGAGGGCGACCATCTGTCCCAAGGAGGTGTCAGATTTATCATCCACAAGTCTCTCGTCAACAACGTTGTAAAGATTGGGAGTATGTCGAGGAGGGTCGCGTACCTGATACTCAGAATCACCAAACGGTATTCGCTGAAGGTCATACAGGTTTACGCACCAACCTCGGCACATCTCGATGAGGAGATGGAGGAAATTTCCAGAGCCATGCATGCCTCCAAAACCCACTACACGATGTTGATGGGAGACTTCAATGCAAAACTAGGCACAAGAGAAAGCGGTGAGCTGAAGGTGGGGAAATTTGAAGTAGGGCAACGGAACCGAAGAGGCCAGCAGCTGGCCGACTTTATGGAGAAAGAGGGACTCTTTGTGATGAACTCTTTCTTCCAAAAGCGGCCCCACAGGAAGTGGACCTGGTTGAGCCCCGACGGTTCGACAAAAAATGAGATTGACTTCATTATGACGACCAGACGCCAACGCAAGTGATGTCTCAGTGATCGCAAGAGTGAAAACTGGCAGCGATCACTGAATAGTTAGAGGCACACTGAACCTAAATATTAAGTTGGAGAGGTCTCGTCTAATGAAAACAACGCTCCGTCCCCCCTCGTGCTCTAATCCAGAATCCCTAAACCTTTCAGCTCGAGTTACAAAACCACTTTCAGTGCCTAGAGGATTGCAATGCAGTGGACGATATGAATGACAAGCTCGTGGAAACTGTCCATGCGGTCGGAGCTAAGTTCTGCAAGACTCGCCGCAGAAGAACACAAAATCTCTCCGATCACACTCTTAATCTTATGGCTGTTAGACGGAAGATGAGGCTGCAATCGTCAACAGAATTAACAGCATACAGGCAACTGAACAGACAGATCTCCAAATGCATGCGGCGAGACTTACGCAACTTTAATACTGCTCGTATTAAAGAAGCGATCGAGTGGAACCAGGGCTCCAAAGTCTTTGCCAGAGATCTGTCTGCCAGAAATAGCCAACTGTCAAGGCTGAAAGACTGAGTGTGGCAACATCGTTTCCGGGACACCTGAGATTCGGAGTGAGATTGAGAAGTTCTATGGGCAGCTGTACACATCATCATTGGAGCCACACGCAAGTGTGAGTAACGATCCAAGAGCAAGTCTTATCCGACACTATTCCGATGATATCCCGGACGTCAGTCTAAGCGAGATTAGAATGGCTCTCCACCACCTTAAAAACGGCAAGGCCCCGGGCGAGGATGGAATTACAGTGGAGCTTCTGAAAGCGGGTGGAACACCGGTGCTTGAAGTCCTTCAGAGGCTCTTCAATTCCGTCCTCCATGGTGGCACTACTCCGGAGGCGTGGAGCAGAAGCGCGGTGGTCTTGTTCTTTAAGAAAGGCGACAACGCTCTCTTGAAGGAACTACAGACCGATTTCCCTTCTGAGCCGCGTCTACGTGCTGTTTTCGAGAGTCATTACGAATCGTCTCGCACGCAGACTCGACGACTTCCAGCCTCCCGAACAAGCTGGTTTCCGAAAGGCTTCAGTACCATAGACCACATACATACCCTTCGGCAAATTGTACAGAGGTCCGAAGAGTACAATCTGCCACTTTACCTGGCGTATGTGGACTATGAGAAAGCCTTTGATTCCGTCGAAATTTGCTGAAGTGTTTGTACAGTAGGGCTACGATGGCTATCCGAGTACAGAACCAGGGTACGAAACCTATCCAACTGCAGAGAGGTGTAAGACAGGGTGATGTTATATCCCCGAAACTCTTCACCGCTGCGTTGGAAGACGTTTTCAAGCTACTGGACTGGAAAGGATACGGTATTAACATCAATGGCGAGTACATCACTCACCTTCGATTTGCCGATGATATAGTCCTTATGGCAGAATCGCTGGAGGACCTTAGCACTATGCTCAATGACCTCAATGGTGTCTCCCAACGGATAGGTCTTAAGATGAACATGGACAAAACAAAGATCATGTTTAATGTCCACGTCACACCTATGCCGGTAGTTGTTGGGAGCACTATGCTCGAAGTTTTTGACGAGTACGTTTACCTGGGACAAATAGTCCGACTAGGTAAGTCCAACTTCGACCGAGAGGTCAATCGACGGATTCAACTCGGCTGGGCAGCGTTCGGGAAATTACGACACATCTTCTCGTCAGGTATACCTCAATCTCTGAAAACTAAAGTGTATAACCAGTGCGTGTTGCCAGTGATGACTTACGGATCTGAGACGTGGTCCTTAACTGCTGGCCGTATGAGGACGCTCAAGGTCGCTCAGCGAGCTATGGAGAGGGCTATGCTCGGAGTTTCACTGCGTGATAGACTCAGAAATGAGGATATCCGCAGTAAAATCAGAGTGACCGACATAGCCCAACGGATTAGTAAGCTGAAGTGGCAATAGGCCGTCCATATAGCTCGAAGAACCGATAACCGATGGAGAAGAAAGGTTCTCGAGTGGCAGCCTCGTACCGGTAGGCGTAGTGTAGGGCGACCCCCCACTAGATGGAGTGACGACCTGGTAAGACATGCAGGAAGTCGATGGATGCAGGTGGCTCAGGACCGTGCTTTGTGGCGTTACTTGGGGAGGCCTATGTTCAGCAGTGGACTTGTGAAGGGCTGTAATGATGATGATGATGATGATGGGTACTTTTTAATCGTGAGGTCAAAGATTTGGTCGAAAAATGTTTGATTGGCATATTTTTACAGAAAATAATTGCTTATTAATATACTACCATAACTATTAAATACTTTTATGAATGATTTAAATGATTAAAAATTCATCACCATCATCATTACAGTGCCTGCCGTTACGAGGCTGCCACTCGAGAAATTTTCTTCCCCATCGGTTGTCGGTTCTTCAAGCTATATGGCCGGCCCATAGCCACTTCAGCTTACTGATCCGTTGGGTTTTGTAGATTACTCTGGTTCTATCGCGGATTTTCTTTGTTTTTAAGTCTTTCACGCAGAGAAACCCCGGGCATAGTCCTCTCCATAGCTCGCTGAGCGACGTCGGGCGCCCTGATATGGCCAGCAGTAAAGGACCACGTCTCAGATCCATAGGTCATCACTGGTAACACGCACTGGTTGTACAATCTAGTTTCGAGGTTTTGAGGTATGTTTGACGCTGCCCAGCCGAGTATAATCTGTCGATTGACCTCTCGTTCGAAGTTGGACTTACCTGTCGGACTATTTGTCCCAGATAAACATACTCGTCAACAACTTCGAGCTTAGTGCTCCCAACAACTACCGGCATAGGTGTGACATGGACGTTACACATAACTTTTGTTTTGACAATGTTCATCTTAAGGCCTATCCGTTGGAAGACACTATTGAGGTCATTGAGCATAATGCTTAGGTCCTCCAGCGATTCTGCCATAAGGACTATATTGTCGACAAATGGGAAGCGAGTGGTTCACTCGCTATTGATGTTAATACCGCATCCTTTCCAGTCCAGTAGCTTGAAAACGTCTTCCAATGCAGCGGTATAGAGTTTCGGGGATATTACGTCACCCTGTTTTACATCTCTCTGTTAGGTAGGTTTCGCACTGTAGTTCTTTACTCTAATAGATATCGTAGCACTACAGTACAACTTCAACAACTTCAACAGTTAGATATACCGACAGTCAACTTAACGCCGCTGAAGGGACTGTACCACCGCCCATATTCACTTATGCAAGACAAAGTGGCAAATTGTACTCTTCGGACTTCTGTACAATTTACAGAAGGATTTATATGATATTCATATTTATATTTTAATGGCTATTTATTTTTTCATCTAGTACACCCTATTTATTTCCTCACTGTCATGAATGTCACCCGATATAGCAAAGAGATTTATTTATATATATATATATATATATATATATATATATATATATATATATTTGAAGTAATATATACTAGGTAACGTAAGATTTTTACTTTTGACTACTTCAATACCTGATATACATTGTCTGCGTAGTAAATCCATGAATAACTGTTTCTTTTTATCCAATTTTCTTTTGTTTTTGTAAATAAAACTTTTTTATTTAAAATAATATTAATAATAACTCTCCTCCCATCTCGTGGAATTGCTAAACATCACTTGCGAATTTAGAAATTCTATTAGAATGGAGCTGCAAGCGGATAAATGTGCGGTCCTCCGTGTTGAAAGGGGGATGGTTTGCTAATTCTGATCTATGCCCGTCAACTGAAGGACCCTTTCCGGGGCTGAAACATACCGATACCTGGATATGTCACAGAACACCGGTATCGATGAGGCTGGTATGAAAAACAGTCAGTTTGCGACGTGTTTTATGCACGCTTAACCACAGTACTTAACAGACTTTTGTCCGGTGTGAATAAGACACACGCATAAACGGTTAGGTCATGCCTGTCCTCATGTATACCTTTGGCATACTCAGGTGGTCTCAGACTGGATAGAAAGTCTCAGACTCAGTCTCAGACTGGACGCCCTGGATAGAAAAGTACGAACTACATGGTAGTATGGACTTTTCTATCCCGTCGTCCCATGTAGTGCATCATCCGAGATCGTCGGTAATGAGGTTGTATTTGCCGTGAAAGCGTGGTGAGCCTGGCTTTTTCAGTGGCTCACCATGTATAATCGCGAAGTGTGCAGCCTCCGTAATTTCTTCCTGGCGAGATCAGATGATCCATTCTATAGGGACGTCATTTGTTGTGATAAAGAACTTACCACTCTATCCTTAGCCAACGAGCAATGGGAGGACCCGGCATTTCCAACCGGGAGACCGTATGGAAGAAGAAGGAGCTTCACGGGGGTTCTAAAAGGCTCTACATGAGCCTTTCGTAGATACAGTAGCCTCCCACCACTGGCTACGCTTAGCTGACCTCTTCGGGGAAACCGAGGGTTTTGATAGAATCAGGCGTTACTTTGCGGAAATCCATTATAATAAATATATAAATTACTTTGCAACCTTCCGCTAACTAAATATAATGATGTGTCTTACCTGGATTGAAGAGCACCTCCCGTCCTCCCTCAATTACATGCACTAACTCCGTCACCACTGTTCCCAGCACCACTACTCCCAACACCACTACTCCTGGCACCACTACTTCCAACACCACTATTCCAGGTAAGACACACCATCGACGATAATACGACACGTGTTTCGCCTCTAAACGAGGCATCGTCAGGTGATGTAGACTCTACGGAGGCTGACCGCTAATTGCATTAATAAGTGCATTTTCACTTAGCGGTCCGCCGCCGTAGAGTCTACATTACCTGAAGATGCCTCGTGTAGAGGCGAAACATGTGTCGTATTATCGTCGATGGTGTGTCTTACCTGGAATAGTGGTGTTGGGATTAGTGGTGCTGGGACTAGTGGTGACGGAGTTAGTGCATGCAATTGAGGGAGGGCGGGAAGTGCTCTTCAATCCAGGTAAGACATATCATTGTATTTATTTAGCTGAAGGTTGCAAAGTAATTTATATTTTTATTACCGAGGGTTTTGTCTGTGCAATACAGGATCAAGTTATTAGAACCAACAACTATGGAGATACATCCTAAAGGATGGCACCGTCGACATCTGTCGAGCTTCTCGTCATCCCGGTAAGTCATTTAGGCATGTTATCTTCGTTTATTCGGCGCTTTTTAACCTCTGAGTAAGTACAAGTGCACGGGCACAAGCCAGAATTCTTCCCAGAAGCTCGCTCCGCAATACGGTCTCGTAGACCGGAAATTGTCGTATTACAAGTGCTTCGAGTTTCAGTTCGAAAATGATCGCACCCGGCTCTACTGGGACTGGGACATCATCACAGACAAATAGAACTATTCTTGCGAATCCACTCCAGGCTTAAATGCAGAAAGCGGTGCTCCTCGATACCGCCCGTATCATTCGCTGGTTTCTTTCTCTTTCAACCTAACCCTCGGCCGTTTGGTTTCCCCTGCCGAGGGCCTCCATCTGGTTGGGCTTTTACTTATTTATGTTTTATTTATTTTATTATGTTAGTATATTAAATATATATTTATCTATATTTATCATTTCATTTTATATACAGGGTATTTTTGAATCGCTCCCGAAAACGAAGACAGATGATAGTATTAGGGAAACTTTTTATGGTGTGACGAAAATAAAATCGATCCCGGTGAAAAAAACCACGTCTTTTACAACGTTTAATTATCTTTATTCGTGCTCCATCGTGTTAGTACAGCTAAATGAAACGATAATTTAATAAAAAAATCATGAAAATACTTATAAATATATAAATATATAATGCATAAAACCAGCAGTGGAACTTAAAATACCTAACATCAGTTCATAGGGATCCACGTACGCGCGACGGCAAATACGTGGGGCTCATGAGTAATTTATCTGCTCAAGTGCGCGCGTCCCACAGCCCGCGATCGTACCAATACCTAATAATTTACAACATTTGTCTAAATACCTAACTTTAGCTGTAGGTGATTGTGATCCTCTCTGGCCGGAAGCTATGCTGGGCGTCTGATAACTGCGTTGCAACTTGTTCCTGTACACTTCGCTCTATGGCTCCCTCAAACACCTTATACTATCCTATTCGAAAGTATAGGGAGCTTGAGGTCGTGGAGGCTACAGTATGGACTTATCATCAAATAGACTGTGTCCTGTTTTGTTTAATTAAATTTAAAGAAAACTTACAGTCTTTTTTTATAGAAGAGGGGGCAAACGAGCATGCGGCTTACGTGATGGTAAGTGACTACCGCCGCCCATGAACAACTGCAACACCAGGGGAATTGCAGGTGCGTTGCCGGCCTTTTAGAAAGGAGTAAGCTCTTTTTTTGAAGTTCTTTTAGTCGTATCGGTCCGGATAAATTGCCGGTGTTAAAAGATTCTACAAAGAGGTTGTACAAGAAAGAAAGCTCCTAGAAAAACTTACAGTGATAGACCGCCAAGCATCGTAAAATTTTTTGCGAAGTATGATCGTGAAATTTGGGTGCTGGAATCACTCTGAACAACTCTTCAGAACACTCCTCGTGGTAGATGCTATAGAATATGAATAGAAAATGATGGATACAACATTCCTTCGCAACGCCAGTGAATTGAACCGATCAGAAAGAAGTCGGTAGTCGACGATTGGGGCCGCTCTGCGTTTGATGCGGTCAAGTGGAAGGAACTGGCACTGGCGTGCCCTGGCCTAAATATTACAACAGTAATCCATGTGGGGTCGAACTTGCGGCTTGTAAAGTTGCAAACGGTGCGGTGTGGCAGCATGAAATACTGCCCTGCTCTGTTGAGCACTTCAAGCTTTTTGGAGGCCAATTTGGCCTTACATTCCAGATGAGCTAACCTAAGTGACAAGTGATATAATTTACAATCGCTCGTTTTTATATATTTATGTAGAAAGTAACCATTACAAAACGTTTAGATCCAGATTCATAAAATTAGAAGGAAACGGCAACAATTATCTTCTAACTTAACCTAGTATGAAAAAGAATTACAAGTTATGGTTTGTCTCTTTCACATAGGAATAGGTTTTCAGCAAGACTAAATCCCGCTGGGTTTCTTGCTGGTTCTTACGTATTTTATCCGCGGACATGCCGGTACAACTTTGTCAACAACTTATTGAGCGAAAGTTATACGAATAGTACACTAGGTGCAGCGTGTATTTATTCGTAGAATGGGAGTGACAAACCAGCACACAGACCATCTTATGGTTTAGTGGATTCTGTGGCCCAAACATACATCTACATTTACAAAATGCAGATGCGTTGTCACCCCTGACGACTACGATGGAATGCAAAAAAGTATCTCCAGTTTTTTACACTTACCATAAGAAATACAGCAACATTAAGCTGCGATTTTACGCTGGTATTCTGTGAAAGCGTGGTCCTTCCCATTCTATTCGTACTACAACCATAATATAGCTGCAGCGTGTCCCTAAGTATCGTACTATCAAATTTATTTGAAAGTCATATATCATTCAACATCAATGGATGTAGTATATTTAGTATAGTATCATTCCTAATGAAACAATATAACTCTTCCAAATTTAAAACGATAATTCTACAATTATTTCTTCTGCCACTGCAACACGCTGAGAGTACCAGCTAGTATTGAATAAAAGGATAATATTCTATTCCGTGATAGACACAAGAATGGACACGTGGCCCAAACGTGGGTGCGCAGTGCTCTTTCCCGCGTGGACGTCCTGCCGCCGCCGCAGCAAGTACGCGCGCTTGAGATGCGCTACCTCGACCGAGATGGCTTCAACTATCACGCACTACTTCGAGACGTGAGATAATCTATACATCTACACCTATATTCTATATAGATTCATCATCATCACGGCACTTCGCAAGTCAACTGCTAAACATAGGCTTCCCCCAAGAAATGCCATAAAGCACGGTTCTGAACCACCTGCATCCATCGACTTCCGTTCTTAGTTCGCCACGCTACCTAGTGGGGTACATTTCGCTTATGTCGCCAGTCGAGAACCGAAAAATTTGTGCATATAAATAAAATTAAATTTGTGTGTGTGCGTGCGTGCGTGTGTGTGTGCGTTCGTGCGTCCATGCGTGCGTTTGTATGTGTGTGTGTATGTGTGTGTGTGTGTGTGTGTGGCGTGTGTGTGTATGTGTGTGTGTGTACGTGTGCGTGTGCGTGTGCGTGTGCGTGTGCGTGTGCGTGTGCGTGTGCGTGTGCGTGTGCGTGTGTGCGTGTGTGTGTGCGTGTGCGTGTGCGTGTGCGTGTGCGTGTGCGTGTGCGTGTACGTGTGCGTGTGCGTGTGCGTGTGCGTGTGGTGTGCGTGTGCGTGTACGTGTGCGTGTGCGTGTGCGTGTGCGTGTGCCTGTGCGTGTGCGTGTGCGTGTGTATGTGTGTGTGTGTGTAGGTTTACCGTCCTATCGTACTAAGAGTACACTCGGGCACTATAATGCTGTCCTGCCCAGATGACTAGTCTACGTTGAGACTGGCCACTGAGACCGAATTCGGTCTGGAGGACATTATTTCAAAAAAATTCTAGAAAGCTTTCTACGTGACACTACTTTTTTAATATAATAAGGGTGCCATACGCGCGCACAGTCCACCTGATAATAAGTGAATGCTGAGGTCCATAAACATACATAGCTATCCTCGGTTAAGATTTAAAATGCAGATGCGTTACCCCTGAGTACTAAGATGAAATGCCTCATTTCCAGTAAAAAGGGTTTCCGACTTTCTTCACTCACCATACAAAACACGCAGTGCGTGGTCATAATTTATTTGCAGAAAACATGGTACATTACAGGTTGATAAATTATTCAAGTCCAGCATGTTTTGTCATAATGTTGACATGCAAATATTAATCTAATATATTAATAACATGTTTTTAAAATCATTATAATAAAAGTAGACGTGTTGCGATTGCTATGACTTTAATTATACTGCTCCAAACTTATTCTACCTTAACATTAATGTATACTGTCGTGGGGCTACACTACAGGTTAAAGATCTCTCATTCTCCTTTGAAGTTCAAAGCCGCGATTATTTGACGGCTCCATGACGCAGTGGGTTGCAGCTTAGCAATGATTTGCAGTGCTGAGGGTCGCGGCTTCGAATTCCGCACGCAGCAAGAGCAATTGTAGGGCCTGGATGTTCGTCCTTATGAAATTTATCTATGTAATCTGCCCCCACGATTAACATTAATTGCCTCCGCGAGAAACATTAGTAATAATTACAATTAAGAAATGTGTCAATTAATATTCAGTTAGAGGAACAAAGGGCAGGAGGTCCAAATGTGGTCGGGCCGGTCCCCCGAAGCCGCGCTACTTACCGCTCCTCACTCCACGAGACCGACATCGTGCAGATCCTCGCCAAGATCAAGGGAAAGGTAATAGGCATCTGAAAACAGTATTTATATGTTGTGTTAGTACTTATACCTTGTTAAGCATTGCAATGTTTTTTTAACCAACTTCAAAAAGAACGCAGTACCCAGTTTGGCTGTATGTTTTTTTATGGGTGTTACCTCTGAACTTTTTTCTTGGTGAAACAATTTTAATGATTCTTTTTTTCGGTTAAAAGTCGATGCTTCTCGTGTGATTCCATATAAATTTGATCAAGATCTGACCAGTTTTCGAGTTATCCTTAATAATGCTTATTTAATTGACTTCGAATACATTCATGATGTTCTCATTTTATTTAAATGAAAGTCGCTTGTAATTTTTTTTTTAATTTACCACTTGTTATAGAGTAAAGGTGACAAACGAGCACTCAGTCTACCTGATGACAAGCGGATGATGTTGCCTATAGATATCTACATATATCCTTAATTAAGAATCAAAATTCTGATGCGTTGCCAGCCCTGAGGACTGAGATGGATTGCCTCTTTTTCAGTAGAATAATAGAAAAATTATAATTATTAAATTTTTATCAAAAACTGACGATATGGGGTAGCGGCTTCTTACATCGCCACTACACGGTACATTTTACGCTAATATTCTGTAGTTATTGTTATTTACTAGACGTTGAGCCACTAAAAATACCTCGGTCTCAGTTTCAAGATATGGGTAACTATTGGGCAGATGGTGCGTGAAGGGATCCGACCACGTGATTTCCTCCAGCAGTTCGACAAGCAGAATGAGTTGGTGATCTCTCGCGCGGACTTCTACCGAGGACTGGCGTCAGCTGGACTTTCCCTCACTCCTGTGGAAATGGAGACGCTCATGGAAGTGTTAGTACCATTTGTTAAGTTCGCAAATACTACGCATTAATTTAAAAAATAAATAATGCTTTTATTAATATAAACAGGATTATACCCTACCCCACATCCCGAGGGTTTATTAGTAAGAGGCGGCAGAGGAAAAGTGAAACAGGAGATAGGCAGCATCTTCCTGATAACAGCTCAAAAAAATAAACTGGGGTTGCCAACTCGCCCGTCAAACGTGGAAAATATGGTCATTATACAATATTTGAAACTGCCTATAATAGACACTTGGACTCTATCCAAACAAAAAAATATAATTTTACTTGGAGATTTCAACGCAAGAATTGGGAAAGCTCAAAAACGAGGGGAAGAATATTGGACAATACGCACGCGTAAAAAGAGGCACACATGGTCAAAGACTACTAAAATTTGCACTCGATGATTATTTGTACTTCATGAATAGCATGTCCTCGCGCAAACGGCACAAAAAAGGGACATGGTTATCCCCAAATAGTTTATTAAAAAGCAAAGGAATATGTGAAGAGGTTATATATGTGTTTTATAGACTCAATTTTACCATCGTACATCGCGATAGAATTCAAGATACCACCCATATCATCTAGATAATTGGCAGTTCACCGCTGTGAAGTTTTCTTCCTCGCACAACTTCCTTGTGGAATTGTCTACCACCAGCGATCTTTTCAATGTTTCCGGATCGATACGACTTGGAGACCTTCAAGAAAAGAGCCTACTCTTTTTGAAAGGCCGGCAACGCATCAGATGTAGAAGTTGTTCATGGGCGACGGTAGTCACTTAGCATCAGGGGAGCTGCATGCTCGTATGCTCCCTCTCATATAAAAAAATCTGAAATATGTTAACTTAATTAAGAGTATATATATTTTTATAGGAGAGGGGTAAACGAGCATAAGGCTCACCTGATGGTAAGTGATTACGGCCGCCCATGAATAACTGCAACACCAGAGGAATTGCCGGCCTTTTAAAAAGTAGTAGGCTCTATTCTTGAAGGTCCCTAAGTCTTAGCGGTCCGGAAAATCTATGGCGGTAGTCGATTCCACAAGGAAGTTGTGTGACGAAGAAAACTTTTTTAAATCGCACGGTGATGGACCGCCAGTCATCCAGATGGTATGGATGGTATCATGAGTTTTGTCACGATGTACGATAGTGAAATTGTGCGGCTGGAATTAGTCCGAACAATTCCTCAGAGCACTCCCCGTGGTAGATGCGATAAAATGCGCAAAGAGACGCAATATCTCTTCGCAGTGCCAGTGAGTCAAGCCGATCGGAAAGAGCTCGGTTGCCGACGATTTGAACTGCTCTGCGCTGGATGCGGTCAAATGGAAGGACCTGGCACTGTGACAGCGCAGAGATGGGAACAGTATTTCATATACAATCAAACCTGCGTCTTATAAAGTTGCAGGCGCTAAACCCACATAAAATACTGTACCGCTCTGCTGAGCACGCCAAGCTTTTTAGAGGCCAATATCGCCCTTTCTTCTAAGTGGCCACGAAACTGTACGTCACTCGATATGTCGACGCCGGGGATTCCGATACTGGCAGAGGCAACAAGGAATGTGCCTTGATACTGAGGAGATACGACGAAGGGGTTCTCTTTAGCGGTAAATGCACAAATTTGTGTCTTCTGGGGATTAAACTGGACTACATTTAGTGGCCCACAGTCCGAGACTTTCATCTCTACTTCAGAAACAAGTTTGTCCCGGTACTTGGCGACGTTTTTCCGAGAAATATATGCACGGCCGGTGTATAAAGTATCACCAGTGCTATCGTCTGCATAGCAATGAATGTTACCGGTTTGCAACATGTCATTGATATGCACAAGAAACAGCGTTGGTGATAGCACGCAGCCTTGTGGAACACCAGCGCTAATGGGCTTGTAATCGGAGCATGCGCCGTCTACTACGAGCTTGATGCTCCAATTAGCAATAAAACTGGTAATCCAATTGGACAATTTCTTGGGAAGCCCATAGTAAGGAAGCTTCGTAAGAAGCGCTTTGTGCCAAACCCGATCGAAGGGCTTCGCTATGTCTAAATTAACTGGTAACGCCTCTCCCTTGGGACTATACTGCCTCCGCCCATTTATGAGTTAGGTAACCCAGAAGATCACCAGCCAAGCAACCGCGGCGGAAACCGTACTGACGATCACTAATCAGCTGGTGATCCTCAAGGTACCGCACGAACTGGCTGTTAATAATGGATTCCATTATTTTAGGGAATAAGGAGATGATGGCGATAGGCCTATAGTTTGACGGATTAGAGCGGTTGCCTTTTTTAGGGATCGGGTGCAGGAAGGCTATCTTCCATTATTTCAGGACTACGCCAAGTGGTAAGAATACCGGAAAAGGGGCGTTAAAACCAGTGCCAACCCCGGAACACATGTTTTCAGCACAATAGGAGGGACGCCATTAGGCCCACTCAACTTGTTAACGTCCAGGGAGAGGAGTGCTCTACGCACCGAGCGTTGGGTAAACAGCACATCCTGCATCTAGTACTCACACTGCGGGATGGTCGGCTGTGTGTGAGAGAGCCCAGCAGATCGGCTTTGTTCTTTGCGATATCGGCCATTGAGTCATCCTCCCTGTGCAGAGATGGGAGAAATGGCTGACAGAAGTTTTCTTGGACAGCCTTGGCGAGAGACCAGAATGCACGTGTTTCCAAAGGAAGACGAACTAGTTTCTCGCCAATTCTGTCGATGTGCTTTGACTTTGCCTTGACAATGAAACTTTTGAATGACCTGGTGGCAGAATTAAAAAAGCGCTAGTATTTAGATCCCAAGACGTCGATGCGCGAGCCCAGGCCTGGTAGCACTCCTGCTTATAACGTAATGCAATTTTGTAGGAGCGACCAAACCATGGCTGGGTTCTGCCTCCGATAGGTACCACAGATGATGGAATAAAAAATTCCATTCCCTGTGGTACCACATCAGCGACAGAATCAGCAACAACGCTGGTATTATCCGACGAGATGTAAACCCGCCTCCAAGGATAGGATGCAAAAAAAGATCGACCCAATCGGCTGACCTATAATGCTAAACACGGCGGCAACCTGCAGTATGCAACCGCGACAATGGTCCAAAGAGTCAAGAGAGGCATCGACGAAGACCTGATATCCGTCCGGATGAGAGGTCAGCAGAAGTTCCAACAGGGAAGGTACATGATATTCCACATCTGGGATCCACGCAGGCGAGGTAACTAGTTGTGTCAGACCATATGCCAAAGCAAAGTCATAAACAGATCTACCCGCATGATCGGTTAAACGAGAAGAGCGAACCAAGCCATTCGCGTAGTGGACGTTAAGATCACCAAGCATCACGATCTCTGCGGATAGGACCTGTTGTAGCACGGAGTCTGCAGCTATCTGGACGTAGTCGATGAGTCGGTCTGTGTCGGCATTACCGCTATGGGACCTATACAGGCACCGTAGACGCGGGGATGGTCGTCGCTGTCTACGCGTAGCCATAAGATGGACAGGTCCGTACCTTCAAGGCTGCCGAGGCGTCGAAAACAGATGTCCTCTCTGACGTACACGCAAACTCCATCCCGGGCACAAAGGATGTTCTAATTTATACCCCCAGTAGGAAAAGATACGAAGTATCAGCCGGAGAGGACACCTATGTCTCTGTTAGAGAGAGCAAGGCCGGTTTCGCCATTTCCAGGTGGGAGTGAATGGCGTTAAGGTTTGAATGAAGTCCCCTGATGTTGCAGAAATCCACGGATAGCGTGGCAGTGGGTGCCTTTGACTTATTGCTCCGTTTGCCCCGTGCAGGTATAGTCTCGAGCGGAATATCCTGAGCACCCACGCTCGGGAGTAGAGTAGCTTGGTCGTGGATGATCAGCGAGGGATTCTCCATGGGTGCTGGTACCCTCCTGGGGTAGTCTTGCAATTAATTCCGTTATCATGTTGATGGGGGGAGGGGGAATTGGGCCTTCGGCCACCTGCACTCACCAGACAAAATGTAGAAGTAAAGCCTCTACTTCACGCTGGTCTTCTCTGAAGTCATGGTACCACCCCGGTTTGAGCCGGCCCATACGCGCAACATCAAAGTCTGCCGCGTAGCTCTATCACTGTTATACAAAATATACAAAATGTCTCGCCAATGTGCGCCTAGAATGTAAAGGTTATTAAATCTTCCATACGTAGTCAACCTAGTCCGGATTTGTAACAGAGTTGTCGCTAACACCGAGCGATACTGTTAAAAAGTATCTATGTTGTGTGAAATTGTTAGTTTAATGTTTTAATCATTATGTGTGAGTTTCATAGTATTTTATGTGCGCAGATTTCCCCCCGCAAAAAATGACATACAGTTCTGTATCGGGAAAAAACGCTATAAATACTCCCATCCAGTCCACCCGTGGTCCGTCTTACTTTATGGTCACAGCGCATGATTAGAGTGTGTTGTTTAATTCTTTAACTACATACCTAATAATATTTTCACTTGTTACCCCTAGACGAAAGATTTCAAATATCAGAAATTATATGTCTATTAAAATTTTGGTTTTTAACAGACACAGGTTTCATAGACTGCCCTTTTTTATTAACATCTGGGTACTACGTAAATTACCTATAAGACGTGCCCAACCTTTAACAATACCCAGAGGTAACAATAATTATCGTGGCAACTCTTTCTTCATTCGCGCAAGTAACTTTTTCAACAACCATTCATTAGGTAAGAGTGATCGATGGGTAAGAGCAACTTGGAATTATTTCGGGCTAAGTGTTTAAATACTAACAAGCTGTTGCTTCAGAGTTTTTCATACTACCCTACTATGAGTACCACAAATATTTAAGTTTTTTTATCTTTTTTGTATTGTATAATTAATCGATTTTGTTTTGATAAAGCTTGTGCGATCTGAATGTATATACATTTTAATTTTCATATGGTTTTAAAAATAGATTTTAATTTATATTCAGTAGACGCTTACGACACTCGACAAGGAACGAACCTCTTAACGCGTTTCCAAAACATGCGACCTCCCGTTGGTGTTGGTAACAAATGGGGTGTTCTGGTGCTGCAGATTCAGTGCACCAGGGCGGCGGAGGTTCGTGGAGTACGACAGGCTGTGCGCGACGGTGGGCGAGGCACTGACGCAGGGCGGGCTGGAGCGCGCGCCTCTGCTGCAGCCGCTTGCGCACGTACCGCCGCCCACCAACACCACCTTCCTCAACTTCGAGGAGCGCAGCGTCGTCTCCAAGGCGATAGACAAGCTGGCCAAACACCACGACCAAGTGTCGAACATACTCGAGGTTTTCAAGGTAAGATTGCGTGTTTAAGCCTACTTCAAAGAAGGGGTGAATAACAGTATTTAACGACTAAAAAAAAGAAGGTTCATAATTCTACAGTTCGTGTATTGTATCTTGAGTTATTAAGTTCATTTTTTCTTTACTTTTTCAGTTGTTGTTGTTATTGTCTGTCAGCATTTGTTGACGACAATTGTTTTATTTATATTTGCTTGATTACATAACATAAATATAAACACTCACGCCTGTCACCCAGAGGGGTAGGCAGAGACTACAGACTTCCATTTGGCACGATCCTGAAGCACCAAGTATACATGCTCGTCGAATAAGGTTACTCTTAATTAGGCCCATTTTCAATATATCGTCAATTGGTCCATAAACTTTCGCCTAGGACGTCCCTTTCCGACTCTTCCGTTCACTTCTGCAACATAAATTTCCTTTGTCAATCTTTCCTCATTCATTCTTTCTACATGACCAAATCACCGAAGCATTCCTTTCTTAATCCTCGTAACAACGTCATCATCTTGCAAACCACACTCTTCTCTTATCACACAATTTCTCACCCTGTGGTTCAGATTCAGGCCTAACATACACCATAACGACCGCATTTCTACTGCTTTATTATATATTTTATCCTACTCTCGTGCTTCTTCCGCCACACCCAACTTTCACTACGTTATATATGCGTTATTACATACGTTAATATAGGGACTAACACAGCGTTATGAATTTCCATACGTGCCTTTTTGACACATTCTGACTGTCCACAATAGAGTGTAGAACCCATTTACTCTATTTCCTTGATTTCTCTATTTGCTTGATTACACTTATTAATATGTCAACAAAAAATATACGGTGTGTTCTGACATACACTGTAAGGTGTGACGACCTGTACTGTGAGGCCGTTCCTTTTTATTTTGCTATAATGGTTACTGTTTAAAACGGATGGCCGTCCCGTATACTGTCATCTCCATTTTTCGAAACTGTCTTCAAATGAAAATATTTATCATGTAAAAGTTATCTGTTCAATAAGAAAAATTATTATATGAATGTTTTTGCTTTCAAAATGTCCGAGTTTATTTGAATAATAATATTAATTAACAGTAACAATCATTCGTAGAAGCTGTTAAAACTCTAGGCGCTGTTATGTTTTTTGATCACGTGATCAAAGTACTAAAAGCACCTTACCTCGAAAGCACCAGTGCTCACAATTCAAAAAATGGCAGCAATTTATGACGTCAAATATTACCCTGGGGTACTGTGGCAGTATACTGGCAGTCCATAACGGAACGATTTTTTTCGCCAGTGAGAGCACTGAGCAGTGCTCGCAGTGTATATCGGAACACACCCAAAACAGCGGATGATCTGACAGTGACAGTCTGGCACAAAGAGTATATGATCACTATGTTTATGGAGTATACTTTTGTATAGAGGATAGAATAATCTGCGTTCGAAAACTAAATTGTACTTTATTAATCTTGTATGTCGAAACTTAATTGTATTCCTTTTGTGTTTTGTATATTAACTGCTTGCTACTTTGTTTTTTTTTTACTTTTAAGTTCTTTTGTGTCACACAGTTTTTTATAGGATGCACACAGAGCACCTAATGGTAAGTGGTTGCTGTAGCCCATGGACATCTACATCTATCCTCGATTACGAATCAAAATGCAGGTGCGTTGTCACCCGTGAGGACTTAGATGGAATGCCTTGTTTCCTGTAAAAAGGGTATTCAGTTCTCTACACTCACCAAACGAAACACAGCAGTATTAAACTACTATTTGACGCTGGTATTCTGTGAGAGCGCGGTCCTTCCCCGGTCAAGCCAACCCATTTGTGCTACAACTATACTACTAATATAACTGCAGCATGGCTATAAAACGTAAAAGTTAAAAACTGTTAAAATTGATTTAAATTCTTTTTGCAATACTGTTTACTTCTGGTAAATTTTGTTATTAAATAATATCTAATCGAATTAGATCAGAATTATGTAAACATGTCTACCTATGAAAAAACTATTTTTTCGTTTTAAACAAAACCAAAGACACTATGCAATAGATATTAGTATCAAAGACAAAGATATGCTCTTTTATTTTAAATCATGACCTGGCAATGTTTCTTAGAAAAAAAAAAAAGAAATCACTCTGAACTTTCGGCGTTCCACGTGCCGTTTTGATAAAGGTGCTCCGTGTTTTTTATAGAATTTTATATTTGTGTCTGGACTAAAAACGTAAGTATTATACTTTTTTATATTCCTTGTAATATAGTGAACACATATATATATAATTTGTGGTATAAAAAGTGAAAAGTAAATTGCCAAAAGTGCTTCAAAATCTGGAAGGCCAATTATGGCGGCTGGGTCATAAATGTGGTATTTTTCACATTCTCATTTATTTTTAGTGTAAAATGTAAGTAAAAATAGTTTTCTTACATATTTCAAATAACTTGACGTTGTATTTATTTCAAATTCACACAAAACTATTTTAGAAATATTGTTCTAAATGTCACACAGATAAAATATTAATATTTAATTTTTTTTAATTTCTTTATATTTTATATTTTGGTATGAGTAACGAATGGAAACACATAAAACATAAAAATATACATATTTCCAAACAATTTGATATAAATTTCTCCAAAAACAAAAGTGTAGAATTCAAATTAGTAGTAATTTTGTCACTAAAATTGAAGTACATACTACTACTGTGCTATACAGGGTAATTTACGTATTTTATTACAATTTCTAGCAACCAAAAATAATTTTATTCGATAGTTTATACATTCAACAAGAATTCCTGTAAGTTTTATCCATAAATATTGTCTCAAAGTGAAAATATAGCAAAATTTGCAATATAGCAAAAAAATTTGCTAATTTTCAAATTTTGCCGCCATTACGGTCCCGAGCGAACGGGAGTATAACATGTCGCGCGCTGTCAGAGCTTACAGGTTAAGTTATCTTCTTAGTTTAGTGACTAACTTAGTGATTAACTAACGCTAAAATGTAATTGAGGACAGATGTCGCTAGTGGCACCGTTAACATCGAGCTCGTAAATAAAAATAGTAAATAAATAGTCTTATCGTGATAGTAAGCGGATATTTGTTATGATTCAGTATATTTGGTGCTAATATATACTATATAATGTTATCAGTGCAAAAACTATAAGATTAATTGCATAATCAAACAATTTAATGTGAAGTGTAAAAACTAGTGCAAAACGAAAAAAAACTTAGTGATTGTAACAATTGAATAGTGCCGTGAGTTTATTTTTACCTTAGTTATACCTAATCATGCATATATATCAATATTTAATAACACAAATCTAAAATTTCATATAATATTTTTATGCAAGACCGTTGACAGACTCGAAAATTTAAAAAAAAATCTACACGAACAATACATCATAATATTATTCATAACAGTGCCATCTAGTAAGGTATAATCGACCTGCACATAACACTCAACAACATGACATCTAAATTCAATGTGAAAACTACTAATAGCGGCCGCAAGATGCCGATAGTAGTAACATGTTATAAATGCAAAAACTTAGTTGATATAAAGAAAACTGCAATATGTTCATTATTTAATAATAGATATGATTTAGACTGTGATGGCTACCCGGAAAAAACATACCGCCTAATGGATCAAGAAAGAAAAAAGAAATGGCGATGCAAAACATGTATTACAAATAAAAAGGATGTTAATAGCGACATAACTAATATCACAGTGAGAAAAAACAAAACCTCCCCGGACAATGTACATCCCTAGAAGAATCATGTTATACAGAGAAATTGCAAGGTTTTGAATCTTTACAGGTATCGGAGAAGGATACATCTTACACATTAGACTCGCACATACTCACGGACTATAATATATCTGATGTATCATTTTCAACGCCGAGTAAATTATCAAAGAGCGTAGACGGCACAATGTCTGAGACAACGTCAATCTCAGAAATGAAATCTACAATATCTCAGCCAAACGGTAACCTTCGTAGTACTCAAAATGAGTTAGAAAACATAATATTAGAAAATAATGATCTTCACAGACAGATAAATAAGTTAACCACAGAAATTAAAATACTAAAATCTCTATGCTATTCCCCCATAAAAACTGATAGTCCTCAAACAGGCAATACATCTAAGAAGAAGAGACACTCCTTGCTACTTCACAGTCTATCTTCCATGCCACCCTCACCGATAGTCACGTCATACAACTATCCCCACCCTAATTCGACGATATCAAGCCTTCAACAAAAAATTATCAACTTGCAACAAGAATTAAAAGATGCAGAAAAAGAGATCATAACTCTCAATAAAAAAATAACAAATCTGACACAAAATACTCACTGTGAAACCAAGGATAAATCGAGCAAGACCTCAAAACCTGTGACGAGACAGCAAAATAACAGCCATGAAAAAATTATTTACATCATCGGTTCTCAACAATGCGTTGGCCTAGCCGCAGCATTATCACACTCAGGATCAGAGACACAATATGAACATTATGGAGTTATTGGTGAAACGAAATCCTATGCACCAAGTAACGAAATAATAAAAAATTGCCACAACATGGAATTAAAACCGGATGATAAATTAGTCATATGTTTAGGAGAAAATGATCATAATTTAAAACAAGTTTTGTCACAATTACAAACTATAATAGATACTTTTATTAAAAATACAATAATTGTACTTAATGTTATTAAAAATAGGTACATAAATGTTAATAATTTACACTATAGTATCAAAAATATTTGCGAAAAACGTAATAATTGTAAATTTGTAGATTGTAAAAAATATTCAAATCGCTTCGACATTTGTAAATCAATAAATTATGCTATTGACTATAGTGACTACGCAGAAAAATATTTAAATCCTAGTGAAATTAGTAAAAGAATAGTGAGTAATAAGCCAAGTTTTAAATTATGTAAAACCATAAATAAACCAAAAAAAGGAACAATTCCCTTCTACTTTAAAAAAAAATTGACGAACACTCAAAACCTCCTGTTATTTATAAGAAAGGGACCATGCCC